TGCTACACTTATCAGAATCGGGGATGGCTCAGCATGCTGCGTAAACATTTCTCCGAAATCCCCAGTTAGTGTACACCTCAACCTTTGTGACTGATCTACATTCCTCTCTTAGTAACCTAACCGTAACCTTGAAATCAGTTGCTTTACAGTTTCGTTACAAATGAACATTTTTCTGAAGATAATAATAATCAACAACCAGAAAACTCAGTATATCTTCAACCTTCAGTTATTTCTCAGAGCATTGATATTTTTTACTAAAAGTTTTGCATTTCTTAATGACAAGTAGTCAACTTTTAAAAATATGTTAAAAATACCGTTAAATGTTACTGTTTTATTGCTGAGAACGAATATCTTTGAACACTTTAATTCGTCACATTGATACCGAAATTACTAACTTTAATCTTATGGAGACGATATTCACAAATTCTCATATATTCAGGTATACAACTGAACTCTTAAACGAACTTTTTAACCCAGTATTCAAGACCTAGTGGATAATACTTTTCCGTTTGAAGCCACCGGTGATCGAGTAGAGTTCCAGTGGGAACAACATCACTAACTAGGTCCTGGATCCGATTATATCTGACATGTTCAGAATCATATTTTTTCTAAGTATTCTCCGTTAATTTTCTTCAAGTGAAAAAAATGTTTACTTATGTGACATGTATTACTTGTAGTTCGCATTAAATCTGCAGTGAAATAGTTTTTAATGTGAAGCCGTTCACACATCATCAATTTCACCAACATCATAACTTCTCAGTGGCTTTGTAAGTGATATTATTAACAATGAAACCTGTCTTGATTCTAATGTTACTCCATGGTTAGAGTGGTTGAAAGTTATCTACTTCACTCGACAGTGTCAACTTACTAGCTAAGAAAGATATAAACACCTAGAGCCATTTTTATAAATAGTGTCCTTTATTTGATTTAATTCGAACCGCGCGATTTTTCGAATCAATTCACATCCCACTGTCAGCCTACAGTAGTTTGATATTGGCTAACATCGCAACTCTCTTGTAAGGTTTACATCTGAATTCATAAGAAACACAACTGGGGGTAACCATTTACGAAATTAATATTCATACCACAAAATTTGGTGTGGTCGATACCTCCGGTGACATTAAATTAATCAACAAAAATAAACATTCTACATTTTCTAACGTAAAGGTGAGGACAAGTCCACTGTAGAAGTAGAGATTGTTTACTGATAAATTGATACTGCATGATGACTGAAGGTAAAATGGAAATCTGGGTTGCGGTAGAATTAAAACCAGTGACCTCAAGATAACCGACCAGGTTCTCTACCAACTCAGCTACTAGACTCAACAGTAAATTCATATTTCGAGCATTCTCCTTGTTCAGTATTCTAGTATGCAATATTCTTGCTGTCCATACTTCTGTTGTATATTGTCTTCACTTCTGAATCTTCATCAGTCTGTTGCAATCACTTCTAGTATTTTCCGATGCTGTACTGTATACTACTAATGTACGTTTTTATAAGTAGTGTTCATCCTACTAGGATCATATATTTTCATGTTTAATCATTTACGAGGAGCCATCTGGTGAGGATTTGGGTTTCATATTATTTAACTTCACTTAACAGATCACCAATTTAATATATACTGATGAACATATGGTTCCTAAATCCTTTTGTCAGATTAAACGTCATATCTAGCACATAGGTTAGAGTGAACACTTCAACTGATGAATTATGAAGTGACGACCTTTAATTTATTTCACATCTAGGTCATGAACTTGAAATATCGGTTGACTTCATCAGTTCCCTTAATTGGTGTCAAAAGTTTCGCATACCTTTCTGTAACCTCTTACATGAGAATTATAACTTATCAGAACTTCAATACGTAGTATTCAAAATGAATTATAATCCAAAAGTTAAATATGTAACCATGAAAGATCCTCACTGTTGTATAAAACCTCCACAAACAGGTTCCATAAAACTCAGGTTCTCATCGGTCCTCTATCAAAATAACTCCAAAGACCGTATAGTAGTACACTCCTTTTTACATATGCTGATCAACAGCCAGACTGCTAGTAAATTTCTATCTTGGTCTGTTCTAATTTATTACGGTGAATTTAAGAAGTCTTCAAAGAAAGTAAATATCAGTTTCACTGGATATCAAGGTTAACACTAATTATTCCATTTGAAGATTTCTCATGATAATCTGTATTCGCGAAACTGGTTACATTGAAGCTTTAGAAATCTTACGAATACCCTAATGGTCGCTGATTCGAATCCTGCGGCAGCGCAAATTTTCATTTCACCTTTAATCATCACCCAGCATTAAATAGAGATGACTCAATAACTAGTGAGTATATTTAACTGAAAATTTCCAAATAAACCTAGGTACAACTTTTGCATTATTTCACTAAGCAACACTAAAAACTTCAATCATTTCATCTTTCGATATGTTTCAATTCCTATCAGAATGTTACAAAACAGGGAAACCTACGTTTGAAACCTCAAGCTGAACACACAGAAGCTTCATCGCTTAAAATTTAGTCATTTATTTCCTATGAAACCAAATCTAAAAGTTGTTTCCTTACTTTAATAAGATTATGAGACCAAATATGTTACTAAAGGATTACCCAGTGAATCTAATGAGCAAAGTCACATGAATTCAGACATTACTAAAGTGATCAAGTCTTTTCTCTGATATGTTTGTATCTCATTATGAGTGATTTCAAACTATATGCATATAATAAATGGTGAATAATAGAACATCAACAGAAACTTTTCACCTATACTAGAAACATAAAATGAATAATGAGAGTTTCTTATAAATTCACTAACTGAGTGCATAGGAATAATAATTTGAAGTCTGAAAAGAGCCTAGATAGTGACAATAGTTGAAATGGTGGCTTCTTCCTTCAACCTATGTAATCTTGGCTTGATAGGATGATTAATGAAGCCGGAAGAAGAACTAGAGTCCTATGGTTCCCAAGTTTTCATTAAGTTGGGGAATTACTATAAACTGAACAGCTGTTTCATCTTAGAGTGTGATCCCTCATCAAAGAGCACCCATCACCTCGTCATGAACGGAATCCATGACCTTCTGGTTCCACAGTCAACATGTTACAGCTGAGCCACTGGGTCAGAATTCAGCGGTCCAATTTTTCTACTACTAACATTTCGCAATATAGCGCAACTTTAATCCACTACTGTTGTTGAGTAACTATTTTCACATACGACTTGATTTGCTCCACCACTCACGACTTCTCATTAGAACTTCGAGAATCTCATCTCAAAGTAATTCATTGAATTGGAAAGGAAATGATAACCATATAATTCTACATGACGTGCTTCAAGATGGATATCCCGAAATTCTAATGAGGAGCCATAACCTGTGGGATCAATTAGTCGGAAGCTAAATAGATGCCAACTGAAAACCTTGGTGAATAGTGGTGTTGTATTGAGAATTTACAGCAGTAGGAAACTGTGAACCACTGAATTGTGACCCAGTGGCTGAACGATTAACGCATTCTCAATGAAATCTGAAGGTCCTAGGTTCGACCCCGCACGAGATTATGGGTGTGTACTGCTGAAGAGTTCGATGGTAGGATGAAACAACTGTCCATTGCTCCCAGGTTACCAATGGTTCCCCAACTGATGTCAGTTTATGATGAATACAACCTTAAAAATAAAATTTTCATGAACTTTAAACTACAGTTCTTCAGTTCTTCGTTTTTTGAAAGTTCTTCACGCTTTGCAAACTGATGAATAAAAGGCATACCACAATATTATCAAATGCATCGACTCCATGGTAGACCCAGAAATGTATTTAGCCACCAAACTGTGTAACCGCTTTAACCACAAGCACGGCATCATAATTCCCTGGTAGTAGTCAGTCTGAAGTAATAATTACCTATCAGTTCACATTGATTTGCTATATGTAGACTGACTACCTATCCAATTACTATTACAAATCTTAACAAAACAATATTCTGTACTCCACTCTTCATAACGAATGAAATACTTTAGAAAGAGAAATTCATTACAGTTTGATGGTTATGCAAGATAAACAAATTTACAATGAAGATGGTTATAGATGTAGTGGTTAGAAGTCAAACAAGAATATGTTAAATCCTGCAGAAGTACAAGTCCACTGATTCAAAACCTTCTTGATATATAAAACTGCTGAACACTGAAGAAGATTGTTTGAAGTTAATCATAAATACCTTGTTTATACTTTTACTGGAACCTAACGTCTTGGTACAGAATATATGTGTATGGTCTCTTGACTGTCGTCGAGGGATGAGCACATACAAGTTGTTAAATAACTTTCATGAGAACAGTCTATAGTTAATAATCTCTTTTTGTGACAGGATATTTTCTGAATTTACAAAAATCACCTACAAAGTAGTATCTTTCGGGTGAAATATCCTATTGAATTGCAGTTTATATTAATGAATAAAAGTTCTACTTTGGTATCTGTAGCAGAATGCATTCAAATAATTTACTTGGTTTTGGCTAGTAGAGGAATCCAGGACACGCATTTCGTCCTAGTTGGGACTCGTCAGTTGGATGTACCTGCACCTCAGTGGGTGATGTTGTTCTCCGCTGAGACTGGAACCTCGTAACCATCGCTTCAAACCCCAAAGTGTCATCCATTAGGCTACTGAGTGTGAATAGTTTAAGCAACTCTGTTATACACTAATCACCAATTATAAATATATCCAAAATTTCAGCTCTCCTATGACTAAATACTTAGCTGTTGTGTATAGAAAAAAATCTGCTGAACTACTCACTTGACGCTCAGTGCATTTCTGAGAACTATATGGCGTCAGTTTATTGGTGTGTAACATGAAATCCATTGTATCTGGTGAATTTATTAGTTTCCAGGATGTATTTTAAGAGACCGAGTTGACAGAAATTGTCTTAGTGATGTTGACTTTTACCTGTTTATGCGGCGCACGGTAGCTTATACATCGCATAAAAATGGACAACACTTGAACACATAAACTTTACAACACTTACTTACCACTTGTAAATGAGTTTGGTGATGACTGGGCTAATGGATAATCATTTTCGTGGCGGTTTATATGTTTATCGTTGCCATGGTGATCGAATTCATTGATATTCGATTTCACTGAATGCGTTTTTAGCAGTACAATACTCTGTGGACTATGACTGGTGACTGGCGTATCGGGAATAAGCATTCCGTTCTTTTGTTCTGTATAAATAACCCTACTTGAGGCTGAGTCATGTTTCACTTCAGATTTTCGATCAAGTAAGCTAACTGTTCGATGCATTCCAGGTGTATTTAACACTGTGTACAATGCTCATATACGATTATGTCAGTAGTGTTGTTTAACTGAAATCCAGTTATGCTTTAAGATTAACTTGCATATTCATTTTTGGTAGAAAATCGAGAAAAAATCACCTGTGTCCACCTTCGTCCCACACATGTAAAGTAAGGCGAACCAACCGACCACAGACAGGGAGAATAAATAAAAACGAACCAATGAGAATTCAAGAATAAATAATTCATTTGATTGGTGAGCTCCGTAATTCGTGCAAAAAATATTCTCTTTCTTACCCTGCCTGTATGCAAACGTATTTAGGAAAACTGTCATTCACTTATTTCCTTAGTTAATGTCCCAGTCTGCCTACAACCTGCTTAGTCTGATAAAAAGGAGAAGGGAAATCCGAAATAAAGACTACATAGAGATCGAATAACAAATTTATTTAGTAGTGTGTACAACCGTACACCAATTAGAAAAAGTGTATGAGGCTTTAAAAATGGTAGATGGTTTACTGGAAAAGGAAAAAGATTGTCATAGACAACAACTCGGGAATTCACTAACACTATCACTACTGAGAACAGTATTGATGGTATATTGAAGAATAAGAATGGTAAGGACCGATAAAATTGTTGATTTGGAAATTAAACAGAGTACTGATAAAGTATTACCGCCTTATATTTAATACAATTTAAATAGATAATACCCATAGTAGTGATAAACAGCAGCTAGCGGTGGAGTCCAGCATGTGGATTTCGTCCTATTTTGGACTCGTCAGCTGGATGTACCTGCCTCCCACTCGGTGATCTCGTTACCACTAAGACTCAAACACAACCAACCACTTGAGAAGCCAGAGCACTACCCCGCAGCCCTCTGAGTCATGATAGCCACTCACTGTGTGAGGGGTATAGTCTTTAGGTTATTGCTTGTAATTTCCCATCGTTGACTGAGGCAAATTGATTGATCTCTGTTGGCATAAGAGCTCTTGCACGGACGCGGATAGTGGCTAGCAGTGGAATCTAAATGTTACCTTTGAGATGAACTGTCCTTCGATTTCTATTGCCGTTTCATTTGTTCACTGAACTTCTTTCCCGAGATTCTCATTTCTTTCCGCAAAAAATCAACCAGTTTAATGTCAACTATGACTACTTTTACCAGCGTCAATGCACTATATTCTAATGATATATATTCGTATAAGTAGCACACACCACAGAAACAGTAGCAGTAGTAGACGGAGAAAATTATAAAAATTCAGTTAAGGAATGACAGGTCACTTTCTTTCCAAATCCCATTCTGAAGGGAATCAACAGTCACTTTTTGATGAGATGAGGGATTACTTCTGATTGAACAATAAAAAGGAGAAAGTAGAACGAAGGAAATGAACTGCTGCATAAGGATTGATGCCACGTTTTCAGTTGCTTCCAGTGATTCCCAACATTATGTGAACTAAAGGTTTCAACTATTTGTTTACAGAGTAACTGGTAAGCCAGTCATCCGACAGAACTGCTACCGAGACAAATCGAACAAACTTCAGAAAGATTACTAGCCCAAAATTTAAGCCTTAGGTATATGTGAACGCAATAATAAAGGCCATACAAAAGTTATAAACACATCCAAAGTAGGGTCAGACAGATACATGGTGATGGCTAGTAAATTAATATTATGCTACTCTCCGGCATGAATGTTCCTTCTGAATAATAACACAAGATACGCTGGATGAAAAGCAAGACACCAAACACTTGAGAAAACAAGTTCCACCAAAACACACATTGAAATAAGCTATTCAGAAAAAGATAGGGAAAAAAAGAAGAGAATCTTGGAAAAAGGCAGAATGTATTTCCAAAATATAAAACGGGCGCTTCATAAAAAAGGCCACAAAAACGCGGAAAAAAGCCGAAGAAAAACACAAATTACACCTGCAGAACACGCAAAGATGAGCTAAAAACAGAGAAAAGTAATGGAAAAAAGAATAAGGAATAATGATAGACGTTAGATGACAGACTGTAATCTGTCCAGTGACCTTTCACATGTGGATACTGGTTCCAGTGGGAGATGTAGATGAGAGGTACAAGGACATGTAAAAGTTTCCTCTCAAACAAGGTGACAGTGTTGTTTACAGTGTAGACGAGTGTATGAGTGCGATTATCATCCAAGCTACTGCAGTTAATGCTGACCCGAGAATTTAGATCACAGCTGCGTATGACAGTCGATTTGGAGATCTTGACTATCGGGTAACGATGAGGTAGTGATGTAAGTGTTGATATTGTCTTCAGTGCCTATGGTTGTCATTGTGTAGGCATAGAAGTTAAGGCAGACGCGTACTATCTTGGCGGAAGTGCTGGTAATGCCAACTGTGTGGTTAGATTGAGGAAAATTAGGATCAGCTTTCGCTATGTTGTGCTGGTTGTGTGGGACAGTCGGAGAAGTGTGTGAAGATTATCGCAAGTATTCGCTAGGCAGATCAGTATGTTGATATTTTTATCCAATTTTTAGATGCATGTTTACAGTTTTATTAATTCTTGTTTGCTAACATACTTGAATCATAAACAATTTTCAGCATATAGAATTTAATCTTTTCAATATGCAAGTTCTGATCTGTTTGCTGTATTTCGCAATGAGTGTACCACTTCCTTGACTGAATGCTAAATGAAATTTGAGTTTGTCATTGGCATTATCCACTTCACTTACCCACACCACACTATCCTCCCCTGCTGGCTTCGTACTTTTCTCAAGATTCTTATATTATAGGTCCTTACTAATCTCAACACTCAAGATTTAAACGTGATGACATATATTTCGGGATTCAAATGAAGTCTTTTAAGAGTATTCTATTTTAAGTCCTAGAAAATTTGATCTACTTATTGGCGTGCATATTTTTGGGTATCTTCAAATTTCCTCTATCAATGTATCTGGTTATCATCACGAAGACTTAGTACACAACAATAAAAATGCAGCAACTCTGGAGGTTGACATACTGAATAAAGGCCATCAAAATCAAATATTCGAATTTGACAAACAACGCCCATTGCTATGGTGTCTTCGACTTCAGCAGCTCTCCGATCAGCATTGCATGAGGTATGAAAAGGCTTGACACAAGGAGATATACAAATCCTTCATCATTTAAAGAAGAGATATGGCACCTTATACAGTGTACGTAGCAAAAACAACTTCATGGAACATTCAGAAAAGAGATTGTAAGTAGTGTAACAGTGTCTAAGAGCTAACGGATACGATGGCCTTTGCATGGTGAGTTGCTAGGCGTTGACCCCCTCTTACACAGTCTTTACAGACGCTGATGGCAGTAGCGCCACAGGTGGACTGACTTCAAGCAGTGTGTGGCTAATCGCATCCTGAAAAGAGGCACATCAACGGGTGTGCAGGCTACAAGTGATAGAGATATGTGAAGCAGTAGCAGGAGTGTTGTTATCACCTAACCCACAGTGAATTACATATCACTGACGGAAACTTTGACTCAAATACTTCGAAGTCGACTCAAAGGAAGCAAGTCTGCTAGTGGTTATGGGAACAGATTGAGGAATACATTGAAGTAGTCTGGGTACGCAGGGTGCTCAGTCCAACAAGTGCACTCGGATATGAGCTCAGCTTCATTCCCTAATCATGAAGCAAGCGAGTGTGCAACCTTTAACTAGGTGACTGTTAATTAGGACCCAGAATATACAAGATGGAACGTCAAACTATATCACTTCTACGAGGAGTGACGGAGGTAACTCCATAGTCTAGGAGATAACGTCCAACTGTTTGAAGCAATGGTGTCGAGTGTTGGTGGGAACGACATTTCTCATGGGAAGGTAGGTGGATCCAGGTGACACATCCCAAAATCGACGAAAGCATCTACTGTTAGCACTTTGAGATTCAACAAAAACTAGCACATGCGCTTATGACAGAACCAACCTTCAGGCAAAAATTCATGTACAATTAATAAAATGGTAGATTTTTAACCTACTTCAAAAATACTTTTGGCGACATCAGTGCGAGGGGACCTTTTTTAACGATGGGTAAACAATAGTAGTTTCATCCTTAATTCGAAATTCATACTTCAAAATAAACTGCACCATCAAAATCACAACACAATTCTGACATGCCACGTTCCCATCCTCGCATCTCCAATTGCCATTTTGGACCTGATCTGTGTTAAGTTTGTAGCAAACTTCTGCATTCATCTGCCTTCATGAATGAACCAGCTTTTCAGAGTGAAGAAAAAGCAACTGGAACCAGTTGAATTATATTTTGCTAAATTGTTGATTATTAAGTAATAAATTGACTGGATTGAGTAGGAGAAAATTTCCACTCTTCTCGCGAGCTTTCATGGAAAATGAATCATTTTGAGGTCTAAACATTTAGAAGAACCTTGCATTGAAGTCAGTCATTCTTGCACACCATATACTTTTGTTCTGATTTCAACGCGAACGTAACAGCTACTTAGTGAATTCTTTCAACTTTGAGATGAGGGCTTGCAGTTGACTACATGCTTTCTGGCTCGCATGCTTCAAGCATAAATATCGTACAACTTTCGAAGTTAAAAATAGTCACATACAAACAACCAGAAAATCTATTGTTTTCAACCTCTGTCAGTAATGTTCAGATGTTGGAACATTCAAGCTTGTTTGCTTGCAACTGTTTTCTCTTCATTGTTGCAACATGGTTTTGCCGTGGTGTTTCATGTTCTTTAACTCACTCTCAATGTAAGAGAAACACGATCAGAAGTATTGCGTAATTCTTTAATGACATTATTTTATAGACTAACAGTTTATGTTGTGACGTTGTGATGAATTGTAGTAATAAACGTTGGGTTCTAGATCCAAGATTTGTTTTGCGCTGTTGTCATGGTCTTGTGCGTTCATTACAAGTATTCTGAAGCTCCTTAATTGCTCTATCCAAAGCAGAATACCACGGTTCTATTGACAGCAGCCAAAGGAATTACTTCAAAATTCTACATCACATGTTCATTTTCAACAAGGAAGCCAAAAGAAGCTCAGTAATATTTTTCATAGAAAATCCCACTAAAACTGAGTTGCTTCAAATATTACTGTGCGGTTCTTTCCATAGTTGTCACGTTTGTGTATAATAATACATAACACAGATACACTGTGAATCAACAAATATACGAACAAAATGTGTGAGCAAACCAAA